AAATCTGTAACCATTGGTTACATTAGAGACGAAGCGCACGAAACAGTGTTAACTGCAATACAGACACCCATTGATATGAATGCAAAAGTGAGGGACAGTTAACACAATGATTGGGTGAATGTGAGTGAAAATGAATGAAAACACGCTTTCATTGAAGAGTGAAAAAGCATTTTTGCATTCAATTCATACAATTGTGACAAATATTTGGCGTATATTTCATCGGTAGTTAGACTCAAATCGTGTCAAATTGAGTCCGAAAGCCATTTACAGCTGATATCGCAGACAGTGAGTGGAGTTGTGGTGCGATTGCGTTGAGAGAGAGAGAGAGAGTGGAAGCGTTGGAAGCGTTGGAAGTGTTGATGTGATGTCTTCTAACTACGCGTACGACTCGTCCGGCAAATACATCGCTTCATCGCAGAGACCGGACGGCAGTTGGAGGAAAGAGAGACGGGTTAAGGAGGGTTACGTCCCGCAGGAGGAGGTGCCCATCTATATGTCGAAAGGCAAACAGTTCCAAAAGGACAGACAGTCGGCGCCCATACCCGGACTCGCACCACAACACACTCACCAAAAGGTAGGCCACTCTGCTGTTTGAGTCCATGTTTACCATTATTTGACGCATTTTTGGTGACAATTAGGAGTCGAGGCCCGCGACGGGTCTAACAGTGAGCCCTCCGTCTGCGCCAAAGTTGGCGACGGGTCTAACGGTGGACACGGAGTGGACGACTGTCTCGAACAACAAGAAGAAGAAGGCGAAGACAAAAGCGGATCCGGAAGTGAAGGAATTGAGTGCCGCGTTGAATGCGGTGACCGTTTCAGACAAGAAGAGCGCCAAAAGTGGTGACAAAACTCGTGGCAAAAAGTGTGCGGAAAGTGAAGTGAACTCTAATGACAGTATAGTCCGCAACGAATTCGGTCAGCCGTTGGCCACCGAACCCGTGAAACGACTCCGCAATCTGAAGAAGAAGTTGAAGGAAATCGAGGCCTTGAAGACGAAGGACAAGAAGCTCCTCGAGAGGGAACAGTTGGATAAGATCTCACGCGAAGACGAGTTACTCAAACAAATACAAGAATTGCAGCGATTTCTAGACAATTGATTGATAATAATGTTATAATAATTATATACTAAACACCATTCAATCAATTCTCACATCATTGTAGCAAACAATCGACTATTTGTTTCGTTACTCCATTTGTATAGCATTTTGAGTCCAAAAATAACTTAAAAACTTAGCTTTAATTTAATTTAAATGATAAAATTTTTTTTATTTAAATGCGCTTAGTCTACATTTTGTAAATGACTTTATTTTAAATTTATAATAATTATGATTACAGTATATACCCTAATGCATGAAATGAATTATTTTAAACATCATATTTATAAGATATTAATATAAGGGAAATCCAAAAAAACTGTTCCAAGTTTATATACAATTTAAAAAAGTTCGATTTTAATAAAGTAAAATTACCTTGGTGGTACATATACCGTAAAATTTATTTTACTAAAGCCAAGGTTAGTCATTGATAAGACTATAGTAGCCTGGTATAGTTTAAAGTGATTTGAATACTCATTTAAATTCTAGATCATCGAAAGGGCTACAGTATGTTGCCTACATTTGTAGATTTGTATAATCTTAGAGATTTATAATACTCAATTTTAAGTATTTAAATTTATCTAAATGGGAGATTCTTACTGACCTTGATCAATGATCATACA